TTATATTATATCATATTATATTATATTATATATAATATTATTTTATATTATATCATATCATATTATATTATATTATATTGTATTATATTATATTGTATTATATTATATTATATATTATATCATATATCATATTATATCATATCATATTATATTATATTATATTATGTTATATTATATTAAATCATATTGTATTATATGATTATACATAATTATATATATATATATTGGTTGGGTTACTGTTAAGAATGGGATTCCCAGTTCAATAAGTTCAATCCCCCAATATATCAAAAGTAAGAACAATCCCGGAATTCATAATCAACAGTGGCTCTATCCCATCTTCACATTGGTTGGCTTATCCCCGTGAACAAAAAACTGCGGTTTCCTTGCTTCTACATGAAATCTGCACATGTTGCTTCAGTCCGCACTCTTGCTCCAATCCGAAAATCTCACAAATCTCTTGATACTCCACATGTCTGCTACAATCCACATGTCTTATTAAAAAAAACAAAAAAAACAATGTCTCATGGTAGTTCCCGTTTCATCCATGTCGTCCCCAATCCGTCGGGCCCCATGTATCACCTCGGTCATCTTCACAAAGTCCTCAAGTGGTGTATCCTCAGGCTTTTCTGCCTGGCAGATGCAAGAATTGCCATTGACAAATGGAGAAAATATATGAAAATATATGAAAATATGAGGTTCCAAACCATCAAGTCTAGGGAAAACTCATGAAAAATCAATGTTTCGCCAGCTGTGAACTATCTAGCTTTTCAGGCTTGAATTCTGCATTCAACGGGAGTTGTTTATGGGTAGAAAAGGACCCAGTCTCCGAGATGGAGCAAACGTAATGGTTGATGTTCACTAGAAGGAGTAACCACATGTGGCAGCATATCACTAACAAAAAGAATTGAGATAGCCAAATTCAATAATTATGGGTGTTCTTCAGGCGTTCGGAGTTTTGAAAATCAGTCGGTTTTATGATACCATCTTGTTATTTAACATAGCTATGGAAAATCCCAAAAATAAATGGAGGTTTCTAGCTGGGAAAATCATCTGTAAATGACCATGTTCCATAGCTATGTTAGTCATAACTGAAGATGTTTCAATGCTCACCTCATGGATGATCAAAAAATGACCGTGCTCTGTTCGGATCAGCAGAGACGCTGAAAAAATCACGAGTTTTTGGTGGCTGTGGATGCCCTGAAAAATCACGATTTTTATTGGCTTGTTGAATGGAGATGATTACCCGGCCTGGTAAACGTTTACATAAAACTATGGAAAATCACCATGTTTAATGGGAAAACTCACTATTTCTATGGCCATTTTCAATAGCTATGTTAAATTACCAGAGGGTATAATCCACAACGTCCCACGGTGTGGGAACCTATAGTAAACCAACCTCACAGACCGTAGAATTCATTGCACCTTTCACAACTATGGGCATCATACATGCAAGGGCTTCCCAAGTATAGGGTAAGGTCAGCTGTGGTAATGGTGGTCACAAGCAAAAACATTCTCTATATGGGTTTCACAAGTATAATAGATCACTTTGAGGACATGGGGGCAATGGGTTTCAAAAAGAGCCATAAAGCGGGGGGGCGCAACTGTAGGAAAACCATTGGTACAACAATGTAAGGGTATCACAAGTATAGGGACAGAATAAACTGTGGTACTGGGATAGGTATCGTAGATGGGTTTTAGGACTATAGGTGATTCAGAACTATCGATCATTTTCCTTGATGGTGAAACTATACGCAGGGAACTCGAACCCAGCAACAAGAAAAACACGTTCAATCGCTCCACTCATTGTACACAATTCAATGTCACAAATATCAGCCCTTCCATTTCCGAAATCTCAGGCTTTACAGCCGAATGATGGTTTCTTAAATTCCAATGACTTGGATGAGAACTGGGGGTACCCCCATTTTCCAAAACGGAAACCTCCAAGTCTTTTTTAAGACCCAAATCCTTCGGAACCGCATCCAGCACTGCTCCATTGCCGCCTTCATGAAGTCTTGCTCCCCCATGCTGACGGTGTCACGGATCACATCCAAGAGATCTTCAAACTTCTCCAGACCGAACTGGCTGAAATTCCAGGCCTGTGATATCGACAGAAGATACTCACCAGCAGGGGTGGAATCAACCACCAAAATATGCTACCAAGTGGATTATTAAGAAATACATCTGAGTTGCTGTATATGCAGAATTTCACTAGGCTAACGAATGGAGATTTATGGGAGAGTATGGTTGGGTGAAACTAAACCCATCTATACCTGGGGCTCACTTCGTGCACCTTTTGAACCGATTTCAAGACCCAGCTTGTTTTCAGGGAGTACACGGAAACCAAAGTCGACAATGGTGTTCAAATGTTGCCAGACTGGTCGAACTAGTGGTTCAAGGACGTTCATCAAACCGCTAAAAAAAGAACTGCACCGACAGTAATGGGCTAAAGCCAGTAATGAACCATCACTGTAGACTATCATCCCAAATACGGCTATACCCGAGTCTATATTATTGAGTTTACCTCATTAGTGGGTATGCAACTAAGCCATAAAGACTGTTCTAGCAAATGTTCATGTCCCAGCGTGCAACATTTGTGCCCCGCTGTCCATTAGTTCCAATTCCGTGCCTTCTTGAAGTACTTGGAGTAGTAGTAACTCAAGTGCTTCTCCTTAGTAGCAGCAACCACCCCCACAACCCCAGAACCACCTTCCCTGTCAACCAAAGTTAAAAGGTGGTGATTTTGCAGAGGCTTCCACATGTCTTCCCATATCTAAACCATCTGGTCAAAAGCACAGACTCCAATTGGGTGTGTTTTCCGTTCAATGGCCATCAATTCGGGGTGTACCCCATGTTCATCCATTAAAAAAAACCAACTGACAATTTCTTAGTTAAATATTGGTGATATACCCATGATATCTCATTGTATCCCATTACATAACATTATATATACCACTTTATCCTATGACATACCATTAATTACATACCCTTTATCCCATTATTTGCCAGAAGTGGTTGCCACGTTCTGAGACGATGCTCCCAACCCTCACCACAATTTACAGTGATCTTGGCCCGGGGTTGCTCTCAACCAGCCCAGACCTTTTTTTTACTATGCTTCCAAAAGGTCTTTGCCTCTTTGTTTCTGCTTCTTAAAAATAAAAATAAAAAAGATAGATATCGTAAAGACTACCTCTTTTTCGATAAAGACTCCTCTTTATTTCCTGTTGGCAAATTTTGTCGTGATTCCATGCTGGGTAAATTATGTCGTACTTCACTCGCCTGAAATTTCAGGGCATTGGGATAATCCCCCGCGATCATTCCGCATCATTCCGAATCATTCCGGGCTTTGTGATCGTTTCGCCAGATTCTCCATAAAATCCATAATATTCCCATTATACCACGAATTAATCCCCATTAACCATCATTAGTCACCACTATATAATCATCATTAATCCCCATTAATCAAGAACCAATCAATCCCTTTCTGTTGGCAAAGCCCCCGTGCCGTCCAAGGCATCCAAGGCCATCAAATCTACCACCAAGGAGCTCCAAAACTGGGTCGGTCCGCGTCGTTGAGGTCCTTCTTGAAGGAATGCAGCAGCAGGTGCAGCTCGTAACGGGTGGCCAACCTGAACCCGAAATGGCCACCAACACCACAAGCTGATACGCAAAATGCTGAGTTCATGGTGATTTAAACATTGGGATACTTGGGATATACTAGCCACATCCAAATCTCGATGTTTGATGTTCTGAAATTTGGCCACCAAAAAAAACATTTACGATCAATTTAACCTCACTTTCCATATTGACATAGACATCACGCGAAGTTTGGCATGTAATGACTGACCTCCGTATTTTCGGGGTCGTTAAAATGTAACAAGATGTAACAAGCACACATCGTAGCACAGCCAGGCAACAAGGTCCAGTCTTCGTACTGGAACTTCTCAAAAAGCGGCATGCCATTGCCCAGATCCGTGATATCCTCAGGACGTTTTAGGACGTGAGTTTTGGGGTCGGAATCGGAATCGCGTTACGTTGGTTGACATGAAAAGAGGTTTACATCCTGATTTATATAGATTATCTAGTTTGATGGATTTACAAAGCAACAAACAGAACTAAAAACATCCACCAAGAGCAAAAAAAACGGCTGAAATACATCTGTTTCATAGAGTTTCATACCATGTTCTTCCCTGCTTTCCGTGTTTCCTCTTTCTCCCCCGGTCCCCTTTTGGCACGTTAAAAAGGACGGGGCCCGGTCCCCCGGTTCCCCCGGTCCTGGACGCCCATGACGTCCAGGTCTTCGAAATCGATCTCCATGGGCGCGGCCTTCTCCTTGGCGGCTTCCTCCAGTGCCTTGGCGGCGTCTTCGTCGCCCGCCTCCAGCAGCTTCTTCTTCTCCTCCTCCAACTTCTTCCTAAAAAAAAGGGAAGATGATGGGTCTATCATGGATATATAATATAATATAATATAATATAATATAATATAATATAATATAATACAATATAATATAATATAATATAATATATATATATATATAATGAATGGGTATATAATGGCAATTGTTAATCTCCAACTTCCTCCTAAGACGATGGGAAGATAATAATGATCATGATGGGAAGATTATATAATGACAAATTCTTCCTGGAAAAGAAAAAACACATGGGAAGATGATGGGAAGATGATGGGATGATGATGGGAAGATGATGGGAAGATGATTATATAATAATGATGAGTAATGGGTATATACACTCATATGATGACAATATGTAATAATGGTATTGCAATACATGGTTCAGTGAGAATGGGTATACAGTGATAATAGTTAATAGATGTTAATAAGAATGCTCAGTAATGATAGATATTTTATGATATTTTATCATTGTCATCCTTCCCCCTTTTTCTAATACATGGTCTAATGAGAATAGTCGAATAGTTAATACGAAGAAAACGGCTAATTGTCATGTTTTTTGGTTCCTAATGGATGGGAAAATGGATGGACAATGATGACATGGTGCTGCTATATATGGTGCTCCATGGATCCCATCAATATACCCCAGTCATGTTAGCATATATACCAGCACCATGGATCCTATGGCCATGATGATGGGTCATCTCCGTAAATCTTCTTCGAAAAAATGGTGACAACTGTCGAACAAATGGGGACGAATCGGAAAATCATTGGGGATGGGCCAAAGGACACACGATGAACAATACTGGTTGGTGGTTTCAACCTACCTACCCCTGTGAAAAATGATGGAGTGATCGTCAGTTGGGATGATGACATTCACATTATGATGGGAAAGTCATAAAATTCCATGGTTCCATGATTGATTATTATATCCCATGGAATATCCCATTAAAAACACCATTGAATATCCCATATATGATGGAAAGTCGTAAAATTCTAAACATTTCTAAACGGTTCCAGTCACCACCAACCAGTCATGATAATCACCATTAACCAACATCATTAACCATCATTAACCCATCATTAACCATCATTAATAAGGATTGTTGTTTCCTCTGGCTCCTGCCTTTAAAATCCATGGGAAACTCTGATGATAACATGGCTTCTATCATTGATGATGGCATTGTCATGGGAAGCGCTCAAAATCATGGGGAATGGCTGGAGAATTCGTAACTTCTTCCGGAAAAACATTGGAAAATGGATGAGACAAGACAATGGGGAATATCATGATTTTCATGATTAATGATATATATACAATGATTTTCATGATTATCAGAAAACAAAATAAAACTACATAATATGTTACTATCTTCAGTAGGTAACTAAATGGGCCATGTTCCATAAGTATGTTAAATTACTGGAGGGAAATTCTCAAAATGCCTGTTGGATTTCACACTCTGGGTCTGGGAGAGCTGCGCCCTTTTTGGTCGGCCCTGAAAACCTGGAAAATGGAAACTTTGAAACCAAAAAATGTTGCTGTTGGGTTGCAGAGCTGGGTTAATTGCAAGATTATCTCCAGATGGGGATACTTCGCAAACTGTTAAGTTGCCAGAGGCTATATCCGATACTTACCATCCAGAAATCTGGGAATAAAATTCCAAATGGATGTACATATATATATATATATAATTATAAAATATTATATTATATATATGGAATATCCTATAGTTTTCCATCTAGAAGTCTTGAGAATAATATCCAAAGTCAGTTATATATATATATCCATTGAAATATCGGATCGGTTTCAGGGAGTTCGATAGATTAGGTGGTATTAGTCCCCAAGAAATTTACCAATCAACCAGGCTACATCAACCAATCAACCAGGGTTTACCACATTAGTTTCCATCTAGAAGTTCATTCTCTCCGTCCGGAATTCCCAGTTTTGTTACTTAAATCACTCGTTTCCTGTGGTTTTTTTTGTGTCCATTCAGAATATAGCTCCTGCAACTAGTTGGTTATAAATACATATATAATGTGGTTAAAACAATGCCATAAACTACCCATGACTGGGATTGGTAAACATACCACCTATGAAAAAATTGTGGGCGGATGGTTGATTCTTGTTTTAACCACATTTTCAGCCAATTCGAAGTGACAAAAATGGCGGCCTGTTTTAAAGGGGCCCCGTAGCCCGGCTTCCAGCCGCGCCAAGCGTCTTTTCCGCCTCGGCTTTCTTGGCCTGCGCTGCCTTTCGTTTGTTGGGATCTCGATATTCTGCCTGCGCCTTGCGCCACTCCTGCAGCTGGAACTCACTGAAAATCAGGATGTTTTGCAGGATGAAAAACCACCAAGAATGGGTACAAACACATGCTGGTTGGTGGTGTTAACCATCTTGAAAAATACGAAAGTCAATGGGAAGGATGACATCCCATTATGGAAAATAATTACTTTACTTCGTGTGATCCCCACCATGACATGTCAGGACGTATATTTGGACATATATTTAGTATATTCTGACATCCTATCTGACAAATATTCTGGCATATATTCTGGCATTCTATCTGGCATATATCCTGACATTCCACCTGGCATTCTATCTGGCAGTCTATCTGGCATTCTATCTGACATATTTTCTGGCATTTCATCTGACATATATTCTGGCATTCTACCTGTCATTTATTCTGACATATATTCTGGCATTCTATCTGACATATATTCTGGCATATATTCTGGCATTCTATCCGGCATTATATCTGACATATATTTTGGCATTCTATCTGACATATATTCTGGCATATATGTTGGCATTCTATCTGGCATTATATCTGACATATATTCTGGAATTCTATCTGACATATATTCTGGCATATATTCTGGCATTCTATCTGGCATTATATCTGACATATATTTTGGCATTCTATCTGACATATATTCTGGCATATATGTTGGCATTCTATCTGGCATTATATCTGACATTCTATCTGACAGTCTATCTGGCAGTCTATCTGGCATTCTTTCTGGCATTCTTTCTGGCATTCTATCTGGCATTCTATCTGGCATCCTATCTGACATTCTATCTGGCATTCTATCTGGCATTCTTTCTGGCATTCTTTCTGGCATTCTATCTGGCATCCTATCTGGCATCCTATCTGACATTCTATCTGGCATTCTATCTGGCAGTCTATCTGACATTCCTACATGAGGTCCGGCAGGGAACACTTGGCATGGATACTCGCGGTTGAGGTCCGGCAGGAAACACTTGGCGCGGATGGTCGTGGTTGAGGTCCGGCAGGGAACACTGGGCGTGTATGGTCGTGGTTGAGGTCCGGCAGGGAACACTGGGCGTGGATGGTCGTGGTTGAGGTCCGGCAGGGACCATTGGGCGTGGATGGTCGTGGTTGAGGTCCGGCAGGGAACACTGGGCGTGGATGGTCGTGGTTGAGGTCCGACAGCGAACACTGTGGATCGCGAGTCGCAGTTGAGCAGGAGGACGAGGAGGACAACGAGAGGAGGAGGAGGAGGAGAGGAGGACGAGGCAGGAGGAGGCGGACGAGGAGGAGGAGAAGGAGGAGAAGGAGGAGAAGGAGGAGGAGGAGGAGGAGGCAACTGACATAAAATCTAACAACCCTCACCTGGCAGGTGGGGAAAAAATGTTCCAAACCACCAACCAGCATACAAAAAGCCACGAAAATCTGGATTTCAGCGAAGGCCGACTTCACCAGCAAGAATGGGGAGACTTCACGCATTCTCTCGAATGCAGGACATGATCGTCTCCATACCAACTCAAATCACAGCAGCACAGCTATCATCCCAAAATGTTTCATTGGCCACCGAGCATCATCCGCTTTGCGCCAGGTGATCATAAGTCCCCTATATAATTGGTATATTTCATACATACTATGGGATAATGGAATGTAATGGACATGTTCTGATCCTAGATACGATTCGTGGGATTTTTCGCAGAATGGCACCACGGATCCTGCAAGGTCTTTTGCCACTTGGGATACGCCTCCTTGAACTCTGCTCCCGGCTGTAGGTCCTGCTGGACCATAGGTTAAGTGCTGGGCAATTTGCAGACTACGAGTACATCAAATGGTGGGAATATGGGGGAATATCATGAGGATGCAAGAAACTGCAACATATGGGAATGGGTTATAACATAATGATACATAATGATAGCGTATTGGAGACTAAGCCAAAATAGAGATTGTACGAGCATGGAGAATACATGGTCCTGGGAAAAACATTAGCCTGGTTGAAATTGTTCACCATGGGAATATATGACTGCGGTCTTGAGCCACCCTGGCCCATTGTCAATTGGGATCATGCCAGATTTGAGATGGAACATTTGAAAATCGAATTCAATGAGTTTGATTTCTTTTGTTCCCGGTAATTTCTTGTGGATTTCCCAGGAAACTCATGTATGTTTCATGCCAACGTTTTTCAACAAATTGGATGATATGGGGACCTGTCGGACCTGTCACAATGGAGCCACTTGATCCGCCCAAGTCATTGGTAGAAGTTAAGGCATCAAATCCTGGTAACCAGAAGGACAAAACAGAAGTTTGTTATAGTTTTATATAGTTTGTTATAGTTTGTTATAGTTTGTCATAGTTTGTTATAGTTTGTTATAGTTTGTCATAGTTTGTTATAGTTTGTTATAGTTTGTCATAGTTTGTTATAGTTTGTTATAGTTTTTATAGTTTGTTATAGTTTTTATAGTTTTTATATGTGCTATATTTGCTATATTAGTGCTGGGGTCAAAACATGATGTATGGCTTATGGTCATCCGTCCCATGATATAGAGGGTATATGAATCTTTAATAACTTCAATGGATTGATGACCATTCACCAATATGAGTCTACAATCCAACTTTACTATGCGATTTCCCAGGTGGGGGCTACAAAGTACACCGCACTTCCATCCCCTCATTTATGAAAAATTGGCGATTACCCACAGTTTTTCTTCGTGAGATCGCGATGTTTGCCTAAATCTACATGGCCTTGGCTTCACATCCATGGTATGTATTTTTTGAGTATATCCATAGTACATCCATACAGGATGGGGCCCCATAGGTAGCTAAGTTGGTTTATAACTGTAATAACAATAGTGTATGATACTTCTATAGTATATCGACATTATACCCAGAAAAACTTGGCTGAATTACATCATTCACCGGAAAAGAGCTCTTATTATGTTGGGATATGTTGGGCCATTTGGGGATGATTCCCCTACACGTTCATCATCATTCCAGATATTACATTAACATAGACCCTGGCAGATAACATCACATAGGGGTTGGAAGATTAGTGAAACCACTAAAAATGGCTGATTTTCAGGGTCAAACTGTGAAAATTTACTAGAAGCGATGTCTATTTCTTCCTAATAGTGATAGTAAGTATTAATGATATCCCATTCTATACATAGTAAAATCCCATAATTCTCCATGGTTCTACCCATCTTCTACCCTCACACGGCGTCGTCCGCCCTCCTCGGCGCGCTGCGTCAACTTCTTCTGCAGGATCCAGGACTTCAACAGAGCGCTGCAGGAGTCCTGTGGGAGTTTCGGGGGGCCGTATCTGGGGGTAAAATCATCATGAATAAACTATAGATGGTTTTAATTTAGTGGTTATAATTCATGGTTAATGATGGTAATGGTAATGGTAATCGTGATGTAACTAGTGCTTAATGATTACTAATGTGGGTCTAAAACAATGCCATAAACTACCCATGACTGGGAATGGTAAACATACCCCCTATAAAAATGGTGAGTTGGGGGATGATTTATTATTGTTTTAACCCCATTAAATGGAGGTATTTTATAGCTGGGAAAAATAATTCATAAATTTAACGGGAAAAGAATCCTCCAAAGTGAGGTTACCCTCTGGTAAACGTTTACAGTTTGCGAACTGGAAAAATCACCATCTTCAATAGGTAAATCAACGAACTAAATGGGACATGTTCAATAGCTTTGTTAAATTACCAGAGGGTGGGATTCAACCAACAATATGATAGGATAAGTTATGACTATAAATGTATATATATATATATTTATTTAGGATACTATATTTGGATAATATATATATATATAATGAATAAACTGGATTTACATATCATATCACTATACAGTGGGATGTGATTTGTACGTGTTCGTCAAAAAGAATAGGATATCTTGGGGATATAATGGCATATCTATATATATATATATAGATAGATATACACATCAAATTCACCAATGTGTTTCGTATTTGGATCTATTTCAACAACAAAGGGATTGATGGGGTGCAATGGGAAAAAGCATCGAATGTTTCATTGGCCATTCCAGGAACCCAAATTGGAGGTACCTACCATATATAGGGCCTATTTTTCAGGGCTAAATTTCAGGGGATATACCCCCATATTTTATGGCCAGAAATATGGTACTAACGTACCTCCATGTATTGGATCTTGGAATTCCCATTGAATGGAGGTTTAACCATCATATATCCCATTAAATCCCAGTAAAATACAATAAAATCCCATTAAATCCCATTAAAATCCCACAAAATCCCATAATAATGATAATGGGAATATGATAATGGGATACGTTGATTTCACTATTTTGGTGGTGTTCGTTGAGCGAAGAAGTTCAAACCTCCACCTGGGCTTTGAAGAGTAAATCATCACCATCACGAAGCATTATTACTCACCACTATTCTATATGAGCCATTATACCAAGAGTTAGAATTCTTAACAACTACTATCGTTAGTAACATCATTATACAAGCCACCCCTGTTGTGGTGATACGCACGCCCGTCAAGCGGAAGGACATCAGCAGACTGGCGATGAATTGATCTTGGCGAATCCCGAAGAAATTTCACCCTCCGGTAATTTCTTACATAGCGAAGCCATGGTACATGTTTGATGAGGGAAACTATTAACATTATTGAGGATTATTTTCTGGATTATGGATTGGACTATTGGGGATTATTATCCAGTAAACTAACATAGCTATAGAAAATGGATCATTTATAGATGATTTACCGAACTTCAAGATGGTGATTCTCCGTAGCTTTTTGTGTGTTTACCAGAGGGTATTTCCCATGACGTAAACCCAAAACCCGGGGAAAAACCTCATTATATCCCATGCGTAGACGATGTTCCCACCAGATCCCGCATGTTCATTGGTGAATCCCCATGTTAGATTGCTATATCCCATGACATAAACCCTGATAAAACACGTTCAAACCTTAGTATATCACCATTTATAGAGTGCTTCTCCCGCTATATCCATGTATATCCATGTATATCCATCTATATCCATCTATATCCATCTATATATCCATCTATATATCCATCTATATATCCATCTATATATCCATCTATATCCATCTATATCCATCTATATCCATCTATATCCATCTATATCCATCTATATCCATCTATATCCATCTATATCCATCTATATCCATCTATATATCCATCTATATATCATCTATATATCCATCTATATCCATCTATATCCATCTATATCCATCTATATCCATCTATATCCCATATCATGTTCATTGGTTAATCTATATCTATGTTCATCCCACCATTAAGATCATAGATTAACCAATGTTAATTATCTATGTCTATGTTAATCTCACCAGTGGTTAATCTATGTCCATCGATCTATGTGAATTTACCCTCTGGTATATTAACAGTTCGACCCTGGCAGTCATCTCGGTTGGAAGACTAGTTTCCATTCAACATTGGTGATTTTCAGGGTCCAACTCTTAATTTACCACAAGGTAGTAATATCCATTAACCACCATTAACCACCATTAACCACCATTAACCACCATCAACCATCATTAACCATGGTCTATGTTAATTTACCAGGGGGTAATGACTGACTATTAACCACCATTAACCACCATTAACCACCATTAACCATCATTAACCATGGTCTATGTTAATTTACCAGGGGGTAATGACTGACTATTAACCACCATTAACCACCATTAACCACCATTAACCATCCAATTTACCGGGGGGGTAAGCCAAACCGAAGCACAAGCCCAACGCTACCCCCATCCCATTCGACCCGTCAGACCCGTCACCTCGGATTGCCAGGCATAGCTGATGTCGTCGAAGCCTTCCTCCTGGTGGCATGGATAAAATTTGATGCGAACATATGTGAATAATGAGTATGTGGTGAATATATGAATACAGTATGTATGTATGTCTGTCTGTCTGTCTGTCTGTCTGCCTGCCTGCCTGCCTGCCTGGCTGCCTGGCTGTCTGTCTGTCTGTCTGTCTGTCTGTATGTATGTATGTATGTAACGTATGTAACGTATGTAACGTATGTAACGTATGTAACGTATGTAACGTATGTAACGTATGTATGTATGGATGTATGGATGTATGGATGTATGGATGTATGGATGTATGGATGTATGGATGTATGGATGTATGGATGTATGGATGTATGTAAATTATGTAGGTATGTATGTATAGATGTATAGATGTATAGATGTATAGATGTATAGATGTATAGATGTAAGTTATGTAGGTAATTTATATAGGTATGTATGTGTGTATATATATACATGTAGATACCCATAGGTATATGTACATGTACATGTGTATATATGTGGATGTGAATTGTGTAGATACGAATATTTATCATGTGTATTACAATTTATACACGTACTGTATATACAATGAACGGTTCACCCAGTTAGTGGGCGAGTTCAAGCCAGTTGCAAGTAGGAGAAGGAATAGTCCAGTTATAATTGGTACCAATTTAGACACTTGGTAATAACCCCTAAACTATAGATATCTCTACAATAAAGAACCAGCTATAGTCATGAACCAACTTAGCTATCTGAATCCCATCAAACTCCATATAAGTCCATTTATGTCACCATTAAATCCCATTTAAATCTCATTAAGTAAGTATTAACATCCAAGGTTTACCCCATGCCCACACCTTGCTGGGCAAAGAGAAGGAAGCGTAGCTCTTGGACAGTTCACCTCAGTGACGTTATACATACATAGTATATATATAGTATATATAGAGTATATAGAGTATATAGAGTATATATAGTATATATGAAGTATATATAGTATATATATATATATAGTGTATATATATAGTATATATATATAGTATATATATAGTATATATATAGTATATATAGTATATATATAGTATATACAGTATATATAGTATATATAGTATATATAGTATATATAGTATATATAGTATATATAGTATATATAGTATATATATGGTATATATGGTATATATGGTATATATTGCATATATGGTATATATGGTATATATGGTATATATAGTATATATACTATATAATATATATATATACCATATATACCATATATATACCATATATATACCATATATATACCATGTATACCATATATAGTATATATATATAGCATATATATAGCATATATATAGTATATATAGTATATATATATGTATATATAGTATATATAGTATGTAATATATATATATATGTAGTATATAGATTTTATATAGTATATATATATAGTATATATATAGTATATATAGTATATACACTAGATATAGGATATATAGTATATATATACTATATATACTATATCTAATGTATATACTATATATATAGTATATATAGCATATATATTATATATAGTATATATAGTGTATATAGTGTATATTTAGTGTTTATATATATATATAGCATATATACTATATATACTATATATAGTATATATAGTATATATGGTATATATGGTATATATTGTATATATGGTATATATCGTATATATATAATTTATATATATATATTGTATATATATAGTGTATATATATGGCATGTATAGTATATGTAGTATATATATATAGTATATATATATTATATACATTGTATATACATATATGTATGTAGTGTGTATATATATATATATAGTGTGTATATATATATAGTGTGTGTATATATATATATCGCGTATATATACACACACACATCGTGTGTATATATATATATAGCGTATAGTATTTACGTATATGCTATTTATCGTGTATTAATATATAGTGAAAACAGGGAACCGAACAGGAAAACCACCCACGAAATCCTTCGGTAACCCCATCCTCAAAACAACAAGCGCCCAGCTCCTTTTGGGCACTTGAGCCAAGGCGTCGAAGACGTATAAAGTTAGCCCCTACCCAGGTAGTTGTTAGGGTAAAGGGACTACTATGTACTCTTCTCTAATTATGGCTACACTCCTCATCTAACGCTTCTAGATAAGGGGTGCTAACTGTACATATATTGAAATGTGCTACCTCGAATTATTGGTTCTCATAGCTACTTTGAATTGGGACTCATAGCTACATTATGCCTACACTAGACCTACCTGCACATGCTATACATGGTGGGGCTCAGGGGTCGATATATTTCAACTCCCCCCTCGCCTGTTCCACACGCACTGCGCATTGGCAGGCACCTACGCATCTACTGTCGCGAGAGCGGGTGCTCACTGCGACCTATGCATTGGGTTTAAGGTCTATGTATTGGCTATGGCATTAACGGCAATTGTGTGCCGGGAAGGTTTCCTAAGTGGGGCGGCTGCCCTCGACCTAAGACCTTCATTATGTTTTGGGCGCTGCCAAGGGAATGTATGTGAGCAGGAGAATGAGGACCACATAAGTGGTGGCGCGGTTTCAGGGGTTCAGCTGTGTGATTGCCCAGCCGTCCGCACTACGACTCATATCCTAACTCTATGTTATCCCTACTAAGTTTATCACATGGAATGCCACTATGTTCACCTATCGACAGCCTCTGGGTGTCAGGGGAATAGGCAGTCTCGGATGTGATTAGCTTAGCATTCGCGTTGTAGGCGTTCTTGGCAACTTGCTGATGTCTATGGTTAGTGCGACCAGTTGTATGGTTGGACCCTGGAAGCTACTCCTGACAAAGGATTGAGGCTGATGAAACAACTCGGGATCGAATTATGGCACTTGAGACGCTAGCTATTGTGGGTGACGGGAAACCAGGATTGGGAAGCTCTAACTCCGGAGCATTATATCACTATTCCCATGAAGTCGCGATCTTCAAGGAAGAGTGAAAAGGCATTGGGCTAGAGATTTCTTCACCTACCCTGATGCGAGCATGGGGCTCAGCATCCTCGCCACTTTTGGCTCTTCATGTGCTTGCGTCAAGTGGTGCTTCTTTCCCCTTATGGTGTCGTTTCTTTTCTTCAACCGTATTAACATTGGAGAAGTGGGCGCAGCGTTGGTCGGCAGGATGCCGTGTATGGGTGTTGCAGGTAGCACACCCAGGCGTATCCTCAGTGGTGAGGACATGATTTAAGAGGGCGTTTATGGGACATCTCCTAAGATCAGGTGTTGAAGGGTCATTATTACCCCCATCTTTATGACAGAGAACGTCATCCTCAGTATTATTAGGGGATTTCAAGTCATGCGGGTTACCCCCCCTGAAGAGGGCATGACCACATAACATACCTACCGGGAAGACGAGATCGCCTTCATGCACCAGACGCGCTGGGTTATGCACATTGGCTGCTACGCTTTCACTTCTATGCGACTCAACTTTGCCTGATAGTACCTCAAACTTTTGGGAGCCTTTATCTAGGATAACGCTACTTGATGAGAGCCGCTCATGCTGCTGCTCTGAAGAATCATCAAAACCATCGGTCCTGCCGTCATTGGAATGTGAAAACTTCATAGCGTTATCTTTAGTTATATGGCTAATGGGGTAAAAATGGCTATTTGATAAGTTTAATCGCATATGGCTTGGATTGGTGGCTTGCTGCTTCAAGATTTTATCCTTTGGCGGCTCACCACTCCCCAGTTCAACTAGGAGCTGGTCATCCATTGGGTTATTGGGTACGTTGGAAACATCGACAACGACCATTTTAGATCCCGACGTGTTAGCCAAACCAACAGCGTCATCGACAGAGTCAGGTGCTAGATCTGTTTCTACATCTTTTGCGGGTGGAAAGACGTTACTTGTAGGGATTGACGGATTACCAGGGTTATTGGAATCATCTACTTCTACAAGTGTCTTGGGTCCTACGGATGAAGCTGGCATTGCATTTGGTACGGGAGCAGGGCGCTCATTTAGATCAAATAAACATGGAGTCAGTTCTTCATCATATTGTGGGACGTATTCTACCACCCTAGATGCGCAGATTTTAGCGTTCTTGGGAACTTTTAGCCTGCATCTATTGACGTTTTCGGGAGCTATTAGATAAGGGACACTCTCCCGTGGATCCCAGATGAACATGTAACCTTTATCTATGACTGCTTTACCTATACTTTGCGCTGGAGGGCATTCCTCAAGAACGTAGACTTCTTCACCATCAAGAATCTTACTGCCACTAAATGTCAGGGATTCCTTGCCGGGTTGGCTGCCACCTCCAGTAGCGAAGGCTACGGGATTTGGGGAGTGCTGTACACTCTCCCGCATGGATGGTGTGAGGGCTTGGCGTCCAATGAGGTGTCGACCTGCTGCAGTGTCCCAAAGCCAAGGGATGGCTGTGGAAGCTTCGGAAGGCATAGCAGTGATTACAGGTTTAATCGCGTCAGAGACAGCGATCTCTGGGACTATCACGGTTGCTACGTTAGCATAAGCATTGGGAGGGGCTTTGCCACCTTTGCTAAGTGATCTAGGAGGAGGTCCTCGATATCTATTGTCTTCAGAGTGGAGGAATGCGCACGCTTCTGCGCTACATATATTGTACGCGAAGAACATGCAAGGGGTGATGGCCTTTTCGGCTGCTGACTTACGAGCTGCTCTCCTGGCCTTCCTTCCCTTAGGGTTCGTGCCATCCACATCAGTGGATGGAGGCTGCTCTAATCCTACGGGTCTAGCCTTTTGGGTAGGGGCTGCCTGCATATCCTCTTCAGTCCCACCCCCCCGGAACCCTGACTTGCTGGAGATTCATGAGTGTTCTCCGAGTCTGGGTCTGGGGTTGGTGCCGGGGCACCAGCGATGTTGTCATCGGGAGGTGGATTGGTACCGAAGTACCCTGCCGCTGGTTTTAGACCTAGCTGTTCATCAAAATCTCGGCGATTGCGCTCTTGCTGTTCCAGTTGGATGGCTAGTTCAACTTTAGACCATAACCAATCGGTTGTGCGGCGATGGCTATCTAGTCGGGCTTCCCTAGCTTTAACGACCTTCGGGGCCATTACATCATGGTGCTCAAGCTCGTCGATAAGATGGTTAAACAACGTTTGCGGTCGCGGCAAATCCTCTATGGGAATTGTTGACATTACGTAGATATAGGTGTCTCTAAAGGTAACTAAATCGGCTATAGTGTTACCGGGGACCTTAAGGGACAACAAATTCCTTTCGCCAAGCATGCCAAGGCGGCCACGCTCTAGCTGGAAATGTTTAAATATTCTACGCAACATCGCGCGCCCGCAGGGCATAGCCCCACTAGCAGCGCGCTCAGATTCTAACATCTGATTGAAGAGGAGTCCAAACTTTCCGCCTTTGCAAGTTCCTAAGAGCTTGGATGCTACTTCGCGGTCAGTGCGAGGGTAGCGAGGGTCAGCTTGGAGTTCTTCCTCTGTTAGGGTTAGGCACTCCTGGGCCCACAAGTAAAGTTCATTACCAGGGGTCTTTTGAAGTTTGCCTATGGCCATTAACACCTGGTTCATGTAACCTCGAGCTTCACCTGCATTAACAGGAGGGTGGGGAAAAACCAGGTCAGTCAGGGACGTGATCATAACGGTCATGGCTTCCCGTCTCGCGAAATTTACAGGTGATATGGAGGAATTGTCGGATGATGACCCTGAGCTCGAAGAGTCAACCGACCTACGTGAACTTTTGTGGTGATAATATGATGGCATTGAGTGTTGGGCACCTCGTCGGACAAGGTGCAATGGCAATGGTGGCACAACCGGAGGAAGCACCTGCTGCGGGAATAACTCACTTCCTGTGGCTCGACGAGTCGAATTACCACATGGTGTACCCGCATGGCTCGCATGACTAAGACCTATC